ATGCCTTCAGTGAGAATCTACAATGTAAATAGTCATGAAAAAAAAGAAAAACCATTAAATGAGAAGGTGTGTCTTCTGGTAGTGAAGACTGGTAGTGTATATGAATCCACTGAATTCCTGAAACAGTAAAAACATCAGCGTGGTTTGCAAAGTGATTAGCTGCATTATTTGTAGTAAGTTATCAGGCGTTATCACCAATATGATTCTCTAAAATTGAAGAGAGCCTTCATGACTGCATTCATCTAAAGACGGACAATAATACTGAAGAAGAGAAAAAATTGGACTAGCGGAAGAAAGTGGACAATCAGTCCACCAAGAATTTTAGGTAAGGACATGAATGAAAAACATAAAGAACACTAATAAGATTCTCAACAACATGAGATTCCTGTTTTGCCACCATTAAAACTGATATCATAAATGACTGACAGTTACCATGATTTACAACAGGGAACATTAGAAATATGACATCTATTAGTAAATGTATAACTTCATTTAAGAGTGGAACTCAAAGAAATTGAAGGATGATTCCAGTTTATTACAACTTGGATGCTATTTTCATAGCTTTGGCCTTTGTTTCCATCATGTTGCTGTGTCCCTAACCGTCCATCCATCCATCTTACACCATTTATCCTGGCTTATCTAGGCTATTGTCCTAGCCATGTCCTCCAGCTCCTCATGGGAAATCCCAGGGCATTCCCAGGCCAGATGGGATAACCCTAACCTGGCTGCACCAGATGGAACTGGCCATTTAAAAAACACCTTGATGATTGGATGAACCATCTATCCCAAGCAAACTTCAACCAATCAGATCAACAAACCATATAACATAGTCAAACTCTCTCAAATATCTTTTCCATGGAGAAAAGCCTTCAGTGCAGTTTTTTGCTCTTCTTTCAATTAAGAAATACTCTCCAGTTTTAATATAACTGATGCTAGCACAATCTATGCTAACCTCTTGAGCAGCCACTATTGTTGTCTTCTCCCACACACATTAAACCACGCCCGTAGCTCATGCCTTAGCATGCCACTGTGGTTGGACACAAGCCCAATGCTTGAAGCCTTGCAAGGCGGATTCTTGTGTGATCTTGGGGGTGCAGCTGCCTCACAAAGCTAGGATAATCCCCTCTAGGATGTTCTGGGTCTGCCTCAGGCCTTGTCCTTGTTAAATCACCATGGTAATCAGATGACAGAGCCACCTCAGCGGAATTCTTTCAATGTTAAGGAGCAGGAGTTCAACTCTGACCTCCTACCGGATGTCTGACCTTTTAAGGGCTGGATATACTTTAAACAAATTTAAGCGTCATCCAAACACATCTGAAGGTTTATAGGTGTTCTGAGCAGGCACCCTCGGAGGATGGGGGGGAAAGCTAGCTGTCCTGGAGAAGGGCGAGATCAATTGTAAAAATGGGTATGCAACGCAGACTCGAAGGCATTTATGGTGCTGCTGCACTCAATTGTACTTGCAAAAAGTAACTGAAGTAGAAGAATAAAAGAGCCGTCTACTTTGACACCTCCACACAGCTAGCTAATCACTGATTTAGGTGGGTGAGATTGTTGGATTTTGTGTTTCAGAAAGCTAAAAAAATTGACTGTCAGAGAAACATGCTGGCATTGATCAAAGGTATTGATAAGCTCAGAGGCATACAATTGCGATGGATCGGAAAATTTGGGACTGGTTCTCGATTTCCCATCCCTTTTCCCAACAGCTTTGGAAACGTCAAGGCTCCACACCTCTGTGATGTTGGAATTTGGGAGGGGGCTGTCTGACAATTTCTGAAAGTGACATTCACACCCACCTCACTCAGTGATTGGCCAGCTGTGTGGAGGTGAGAAAGGAGCCAGGATTTGAACTTGTCTTCTCTTGAACTATGAATGTCTTCCAAGACAAACTAAAGGGTGCACCGTAATCCCCATAAAAAAATTACTTTTCCCCATTTCTCTATGGCAGCTGGCTTTTCATTCCGCCTTTGAGTTCAGAACAGCTCTGAACACTTTTAGCTTTAGACATGGTTAAACATCAGACAAACTCCTTATTTTCCAGCGTAAAAAGTTCAATCCAAGATGTATTAAAGCAGAATTATCCTTTAAATTCAACATAACATTTTGCTTTTAAAGCATGATTATTCAGAACCAGTGCTGATGGAGTTCCCTTATTCCACTGTCCTTTAGTTGGAGATCAGACTAAGTTTTAGGGTGGCTTCCCACCAAGAGTCTCTCTGAGGAGCAGCTTCCTGCAGCAGGTGGTGAATCAAAGATAATCCATCAAACTATTTCCCTTTGATGGCCAACTGTCAAAAAATAAACTCTTTTACAAATAAATACAGTATTTACACACACGTGATTGTTGAAAGCTTGGTACTTCATTGTAAATTGCTTTAAATTCACTCCACCAGCTGCCTGATCATACTGGTGTAGACAACAGCTGACTGTCTTATTGATTGTAATTATCACCTTGTTTGGTACTATTTCCAAATTTAGATTTGTTCTGTACAAAATATTAATTGTTGCCATTTGTAAACCTTGTTATGTACATCAGCAAACACCTTTTACAGGAGGACTACCAACTGAGGTAGCGAGGGGTGAACGGGTGAACTGATCCAGGGCTGCTTCTTCATTTGACCAACAATACAGCACAGGCTCTTAAAGCCAACTTCATGATTCCTTATTGTTTTTGTACAACTATGAATTCTCTTATTTTGGAACTAATTCAGTCCAGCTGTATAACACAGCACTGAAGGTGAAGAAGTCTCATCGTTTGTCCTTTTCGCTGCAGTGCTGATCTTTAATCGTATTAGTGAGGCCTTCAAACGGGGTCACGTTTTTCACGCTCACAACTCCGGAACTTTTCCAAGGATCCAAATTTACAAGTTTGGATGTGTGTCTTCCTCCTCTGTGCGATGTTGAAATGCAGAAAGAATATTGCATGAACAGTTTCACAAATTCAAACACTTTTACAACAGGGGTGTCTTTTTCAACCATCCATGTTTAAAACCTGAACTCCATTTGAAGGCCGCATAACACTGGTCTGCAGACCGAAGATCAGCATCAGTCAGCTAACACTGTTGTCCACATTTGTGCACTGATGCATCTTTTCACCCAAGCAGAAACCCAACATGGGCCAAAAAACTATGTGCTTGCTCACATGTTTTTAGCAGCGTAACAAATGACAGTGAACAAGGAAGCTGAGAGAAAGAAACAAGGGACAACCTCACCAAAGTCTTCCATTGGCTGGATTTTTCCATTGTTTACATTACACTTAGTCCTGATGAAGAAGACAGCAGGTGTGTTGGCATATGCAGTCACTCATCCAGAGCTTCTTCTACAGTGTCAGATGCTTCTTGACTCTCCCATTTCAGTAGATACCATCAAATTCCACTGTGTTCATCATTTAGTCTATACTTCCCAAACTAATGGGTTTGGCACAATAATGTCCCTCTGGATAAGGTCTGCTCTCATTCAAATGACATGAGGTTTGCTGGTATCTGTTGAGAATAGAAGAGATACAACACAAATATTAGAAAACAGGGAAAGCAGCTAGCTCTGACAGTGTCTGTATAAAGCAGTTTTAATTGACTGATTTTGGTCACTTGGGTGCAGTGCAACAGGCTATAAATTCAACAGTGACATTATCACTTTATAAGGTTGTTATGGCAAATGTGGCAATACCAATCTATTTACACATTCAAAGCTACATTACTCTGGTGATGTGGTGAATGCAAGTTCAATAGTTATTCCCCTCTGTTTTTGGTCTCCACAAAAAATATGTGTCTCTTTAGCTGCTAAATGCTCCACTATGTTCACTAGCTAGTCACTAACTGTGTCTGCTAGTGCTGGACAGGTAGTGTACAGTGGGTTTATAGAGCTTTTTCACTGAAGATAGCTGCTCCAGGTTGGTGCTGCAAAACCAAAACAATGAGCTGAAAGATGCTAAAATACTGTGTAG